CCTTCAGCACACTTCAATTCACTCGGGTGGCCCCGAACTGAAACACGTGAGCCAGGCTGATGGTAATTTGGCTGTGGGTCAAAACCAATGGTATTATTTTGGGATAGGTGCACCACCCATTTTAGTCTATTTCAGTGGTGATTGGGATGTTCACTGGGGGTACGATTTGGCTTTTGACCCATTTCCATTTGATTGCACTTTGGTTGAGGAAGCCTTCTTGGAGACCTACTTGAGACCTTTTCACTGCGTGTCGACCGGCGCGCGGCAGGCTGCGGCCCACACTGGGCCCTGGGTACAAGTTCGTGAAGAGACCCATACGGCGCTCTCGATGCCCTTTGACTGTGACGCAGGACCTTGTCCCACGCTGCTGTTTGGGGGACCCCTCAGACAGATGCAATGAATGGATGATGATGGTGCCTGTTCCAATCTGGTTGCCCAGAAGAATCCAGAACATTCAACAGACGTCGTTTGCTCGGATGAGTCATCGACATTGCGCTTCAAATGCCCTTAAAAAAGCAAACACCTGTTGAGTGCTCGTACCATAGATGAGGCGTGTGTGGCCATTACTTCCCTCCATTTGCAAGTTGGAAACCAATCCCTAGCTAGGCGGCGTTCGCCAGGATTCGCCAACTGGCAGGCTGGCTGGTCAGAAGGAAAGAAGATGTGGTGCTGCCGCAAGCACAACAAAGCATGCCAGGCGCCCAGACGACCTACCCACACGGCCCCCATGGCCCCAAAATGAAACCCAAGTGCATTGGTTTCATGCTGCGCCAGAACCAAGGAAATATTGGCATGGTTCACTCATTGAATGGCGTGCCTGAACCATTGCATGGATGTTTTGAACTGCCATGAACTGCTGACGCATCGGCAACTCGTTGCGCGAGGTGGCGATGTCGTGCAAGCTGGACGCGAAACCATTGAATGATGGAATTGTTTGTGAATCTGATGCAGGGTGTTTTGGGGGGGGGGCAGGGCGGGCACATAATTCCAAAGGAATGCAAGGTAGATGTGTCACCTTCACGCAATCCCAAAATTGGGACGGCATTGCCCACGAACGTGGGACAGATGAGAGCACCATTGAATGTAAAACACCACTGGGTTTGTTCTTGAAGCGTCGCATGTGGTTGCAAAGCATGTCGAACCATGTTGTTATTGCTCGAACAAAACTGTGATTTTAACCGACAAATTAAAGCGTTGGCAGGACAGGACAAGCACGCAAAGGCAAATGGAGCGCACAGGTGGATGACTGCAGCAATTTAGCTACCGCGCCCGAGTCTTGTAGCGTGTGTTTGCGTGTGTTGCCAATCATGCAATACGCACCGCAATACGCGCCACAGCCGGTGCCCCAAGCGAGCTCGATGGTGGTGAGCAGCTCGCCGTACCAGACGGCTGGGTCCACTTACACTCCCTACGGAGCACCAGCCGCAGCTCCTTCATTGGACCACACCCTCGGCAAATGGTTTGCACCGGGTGAGGCACTTCCTCCCGGTTTCATGGCAGTACCGCATCCTGAGGGACACATTGAGCCCCAGGCTTGGTACAAAGAGCCTTTCAAAAAGCCATCAAGAGCAGTGTGGGAGGGGTTTCGGTGTTGGATGTGGTTCCATTTCTTGGAGCGTCATGAGTCCATGAGTCTAATGAGTTGTTCACGGATTTGATGTTTGTTTGCTTCACTCTTGTACGGGCCCAGCAGTCCTGGAGAGAATAGAAGGTAGCAGAGCCATCAGGTGTCAGCCGTTTGTTTGGTTGAGGGCATTTGGATGAGAGGGTGGGTGCCGCTTAGCAAACGTTCTTGCGATTGAGTGTTTGTTGCAGTCTTGGGCAGGCCCATCACGCAATGTCCGAAGCGGTGAAGGCCGCCAAGGGCTGGATGGCAAACGCGAACGACATGGCATCCGGGATGGCGTCCGATGTTGCGGATGCAACCAAGAAAGTCGGGAGTTCGTTGTCCAGCAAGAAGAAGTGCCCTGGCTTATTTGAGCAGTTGTGTGGAATCAGTTTTTGTGTGTTGCATAGATGCCAAACACGCCGTTTTGCCAGTTCTTGCCCTTGCCCATTTTGTCCTGGAGAATCAGATGATTGTACCAATGACAGCATGCATGCAAATGTTGTTGTCCGAATTGTGAGGAGCAAGAAGAAGAAGAGCTCCGGATGGTGCTAAATGGCCTGCCAATATGACGGCGAACTGTTGCGCAGCAACTGCAGAATCGCCTCAATACACCACCGGCCTACCTGCCCTGAGCCATTTCAGGGTGTTGTGGGCGACAATGCTGCAGACCATTCGTTGACATTATTTGCAGTGGGTAGGCTGGAACAGCTTGCCGGTGGCAGCTATTGTTTGATACACGTTGCTATCGGGTTTTGCCGTGGTTTTCCGGATTCAAAAGGGCATTGCCTGGACCAGGCCCGAACCCTGGTTCAGGCGTTGCCCTTTAGTTGACACATGACACAGCCTGGATGAACGATGGCAACCACAATGCCAAGAGTTTGTTTGCCTGCAGCGCATTTGCAGCATGGATGACCCCGAAACACTGTAATTTGCCGCCATACACCATCGCTCAAATTCCCAGCCCTTTGTTTTTCACTCGGAGTGCTGAAGTGCTTAAGTGGGGGTTGAACCGTGGGGGTTGAAACGGAGTATAGTCCGTGCAGAAGATGTGAAGGTGGAGCATGCCACGTTTGTTCAATCGGAGGTCATTTGGACGCACGCGCAGAGGTGCACGCACTGACAGCAGCCATTTAGCTACCGCGCCCGAGTCTTGTAGCGTGTGTGTGTGTTGCCAATCATGCAATACGCACCGCAATACGCGCCACAGCCGGTGCCCCAAGCGAGCTCTATGGTGGTGAGCAGCTCGCCGTACCAGACGGCTGGGTCCACTTACACTCCCTACGGAGCACCAGCCGCAGCTCCTTCATTGGACCACACCCTCGGCAAATGGTTTGCACCGGGGGAGGCACTTCCTCCCGGTTTCATGGCAGTACCGCATCCTGAGGGACACATTGAGCCCCAGGCTTGGTACAAAGAGCCTTGGTGTTGGATGTGGTTCCATTTCTTGGATCATCATGAGTCCATGAGTCTAATGAGTTGTTCACGGATTTGATGTTTGTTTGCTTCACTCTTTCACGGGCCCAGCAGTCCTGGAGTCAATAGAAAGCAGCAGAGCCATCAGGTGTCAGCCGTTTGTTTGGTTGAGGCCATTTGGATGAGAGGGTGGGTGCCGCTTAGCAAACGTTCTTGCGATTGAGTGTTTGTTGCAGTCTTGGGCAGGCCCATCACGCAGTGTCCGAAGCGGTGAAGGCCGCCAAGGGCTGGATGGCAAACGCGAACGACATGGCATCCGGGATGGCGTCCGATGTTGCGGATGCAACCAAGAAAGTCGGGAGTTCGTTGTCCAGCAAGAAGAAGTGCCCTGGCTTATTTGAGCAGTTGTGTGGAATCAGTTTTTGTGTGTTGCATAGATGCCTGCTGGCCCTTGCTCATGTTGTCCTGGAAAATCAGATGATTGTACCAATGACAGCATGCATGCAAATGTTGTTGTCCGAATTGTGAGGAGCAAGAAGAAGAAGAGCTCCGGATGGTGCTAAGTGGGCTGCCTATTCATTGACGTCATTTGGAGTCAGTACTTGCCGGCGGCAGTTATTGTTTGATACATTGAACTTGCTGTCGGATTTTGCTTCGCTTTTCCGGATTCAACCGGGCATTGCCCGGACCAGGCCTGAATCCTGGTTCGGGCGGTCCCTGTCGATTGACTCACCTGGATGAATGATGGAAAAGAATCGGCAAGAGTTCGATTCGTTTTGTTGGCCTGCTGAGCATTTGCCTCGTGGATGAACTTGAAAAACTGTATATAATTTGCCCAGGGGGTTGAACTGTGGGGGTTGAAACGGTATAGTCCGTGCAGAGCAGTTTTGCACCTGCAATACATGTCACCTCAGTTCAATCGGACATAGTTACAGGTCGTTCGGACGCACTCGCAGACGTGCACGCACTGACAGCTGCCATTTAGCTACCGCGCCCGAGTCTTGTAGCGCGTGTGTGTGTTGCCAATCATGCAATACGCACCGCAATACGCGCCACAGCCGGTGCCCCAAGCGAGCTCGATGGTGGTGAGCAGCTCGCCGTACCAGACGGCTGGGTCCACTTACACTCCCTACGGAGCACCAGCCGCAGCTCCTTCATTGGACCACACCCTCGGCAAATGGTTTGCACCGGGTGAGGCACTTCCTCCCGGTTTCATGGCAGTACCGCATCCTGAGGGACACATTGAGCCCCAGGCTTGGTACAAAGAGCCTTGGTGTTGGATGTGGTTCCATTTCTTGGATCATCATGAGTCCATGAGTCTAATGAGTTGTTCACGGATTTGATGTTTGTTTGCTTCACTCTTTCACGGGCCCAGCAGTCCTGGAGTCAATAGAAAGCAGCAGAGCCATCAGGTGTCAGCCGTTTGTTTGGTTGAGGGCATTTGGATGAGAGGGTGGGTGCCGCTTAGCAAAACGTTCTTGCGATTGAGTGTTTGTTGCAGTCTTGGGCAGGCCCATCACGCAGTGTCCGAAGCGGTGAAGGCCGCCAAGGGCTGGATGGCAAACGCGAACGACATGGCATCCGGGATGGCGTCCGATGTTGCGGATGCAACCAAGAAAGTCGGGAGTTCGTTGTCCAGCAAGAAGAAGTGCCCTGGCTTATTTGAGCAGTTGTGTGGAATCAGTTTTTGTGTGTTGCATAGATGCCTGCTGGCCCTTGCTCATGTTGTCCTGGAAAATCAGATGATTGTACCAATGACAGCATGCATGCAAATGTTGTTGTCCGAATTGTGAGGAGCAAGAAGAAGAAGAGCTCCGGATGGTGCTAAGTGGGCTGCCTATTCATTGACGTCATTTGGAGTCAGTACTTGCCGGCGGCAGTTATTGTTTGATACATTGAACTTGCTGTCGGATTTTGCTTCGCTTTTCCGGATTCAACCGGGCATTGCCCGGACCAGGCCTGAATCCTGGTTCGGGCGGTCCCTGTCGATTGACTCACCTGGATGAATGATGGAAAAGAATCGGCAAGAGTTCGATTCGTTTTGTTGGCCTGCTGAGCATTTGCCTCGTGGATGAACTTGAAAAACTGTATATATTTTGCCCAGGGGGTTGAACTGTGGGGGTTGAAACGGTATAGTCCGTGCAGAGCAGTTTTGCACCTGCAATACATGTCACCTCAGTTCAATCGGACATAGTTACAGGTCGTTCGGACGTACTCGCAGACGTGCACGCACTGACAGCTGCCATTTAGCTACCGCGCCCGAGTCTTGTAGCGTGTGTTTGCGTGTGTTGCCAATCATGCAATACGCACCGCAATACGCGCCACAGCCGGTGCCCCAAGCGAGCTCGATGGTGGTGAGCAGCTCGCCGTACCAGACGGCTGGGTCCACTTACACTCCCTACGGAGCACCAGCCGCAGCTCCTTCATTGGACCACACCCTCGGCAAATGGTTTGCACCGGGTGAGGCACTTCCTCCCGGTTTCATGGCAGTACCGCATCCTGAGGGACACATTGAGCCCCAGGCTTGGTACAAAGAGCCTTGGTGTTGGATGTGATTCCATTTCTTGGATCATCATGAGTCCATGAGTCTAATGAGTTGTTCACGGATTTGATGTTTGTTTGCTTCACTCTTTCACGGGCTCAGCAGTCCTGGAGAGAATAGAAAGTAGCAGAGCCATCAGGTGTCAGCCGTTTGTTTGGTTGAGGGCATTTGGATGAGAGGGTGGGTGCCGCTTAGCAAACGTTCTTGCGATTGAGTGTTTGTTCTAGTCTTGGGCAGGCCCATCACGCAATGTCCGAAGCGGTGAAGGCCGCCAAGGGCTGGATGGCAAACGCGAACGACATGGCATCCGGGATGGCGTCCGATGTTGCGGATGCAACCAAGAAAGTCGGGAGTTCGTTGTCCAGCAAGAAGAAGTACCCTGGCTTATTTGAGCAGTTGTGCGGAATCAGTTTTTGTGTGAAACAGATTCCATGCACGACGTTTTGCCCATTTCTTGCCCTTGCTCATTTTGTCCCGGAAAACGATAGTACCAATGACAGTATGCATGCCAATGTTGCTGCCCGAATTGTGAGGAGCAAGAAGAAGAAGAGCTCCGGATGGTGCTAGTTGGCCTATCTATTCATTGACGTCATTTGGAGTCAGTGCTTGCTGGCGGCAGCTATTGTTTGATACATTGAACTTGCCATCGGATTTTGCTTCGCTTTTCCGGATTCAAAAGGGCATTGCCCGGACCAGGCCTGAAGTCTGGTTCGGGCGGTCCCTGTTGATTGACACAGCTTAGATGAACGATGGGAAACACTTCCCACTGGTTTGATGGATTTTGCTTGTGGACGCCTCATGCGCAGCCACAACGACCGAATGCTTAGGGCCTGGTGTTCTTGCCAGCAGGCGAGGTTTGATCAACGTTTTGTGCAGTGCCAGATGTTGCACCCATTCACGCCAGAGCATTGGCTCCAGACGCCATTTGGCCGCCATGGTATTTTCCGAGAGAAACTCTCGGGTCAGAGGTCGTTTTTTGATGTTCCACGTCTAAAAAGCATTTTGGCATTCGACGGGCAATCGACCTGAAGGGCCACTAACTTCCTTTTGCCAATGGATCCAAGATCCCCTAAGGCCGACAAGCAGCCGATCGTAGGAGTTCTTGAATTCAACCCGTTCACATGCTCCCGGATCCACCTTGACAGCAGCCTTTCTCAGATTGAGTGTTTGCATCTTGGCTCAGCCCTCTGCAAACGTTTTTCAGCAAACTAAAGGGTCCTCACAATATCAATCTGTCCGAGCACGCTCATGAATAAGCGCTGCTCCAGCTGTGTGCCGCAGACCTCGTGGGAGATTCGCTCCCAGGTGTGGATTTCTTCTTCTTTTTCCAAACCGTTTTGCCACCCCCCCCTATGTATTGAGCTTGAACTGTTTCAGAAGTTCATGATATTGTGTGGAAAGTTACACACAACAAAAGATGCTGTGCTGAATGAAACCGCGCCAACCGATACTCAGAGCAATTATGTAATTCCTGACAACTGCTGCTGCACGTCAATCTAAGCTCCAACACTCACATGGCGGGCCACCTAGACTTGATCCAAACAGTTTGTTTCAAGTAGTGAAATAACGACTTTGGTGATCGTTTTTCAGGAAGTCGATAGCTTAGGCGGGTTGCACTTAGGATAACTTAGGATTGAGTCTTTACCAGTACTCCCCTCGGACCCTTTAGCATCTCTTTTGCTTTCGATGATATCCCGTGCAACTTCTGGTTGCCCACCGCTCTCAAAAGCGCTCAACCAACAAGCTCAGGGTTGCCCATAAATCGTGTCTCCCCCTTGGCCCATCATTTCCAGATCCCACCGTTTGCCGCCGGTGTTGCTGTAGTTACTGACCAACAAGAATGCATTGGTTTTCTCGCGAGCTTTTCTGCAAACTGCCTCCCACCTAACCTTCGATGTGCAGGTTCTGTCCTGTCCAAATCCCACCGCCATCGGCCTTTGCCAGTCTTCACACCGGACGAGATATCGTGCAACACGGACTGCAAGCCACATGCCAGTTGGACTTGAGCTCATCGCCCAGACAACGCCGTTCACCACAACATCGCACCCTTCAATAAAGGGCCACTTGGCAGGCAAGCATTTTTTATTAGTGCATCAAGTACAGTTGGTTCCCTACAACATCAAACCAAACAACCAGCCAGCCAACCAAGCAAAATGACAGACGAAACAAACAAACAAGCAAACAAGCAAGCAAACAGGCAATATACAAATGTAGACTCCGAACCACGCTCATCAGATGTTTCGTCAAGTAAATTCGAATACCCATTTCAATTACCTTTGAACTCATCGGGAAGACCACACTTCTACCACAGAAGATGCCAGCTTGAAAACTACATTTCATCTTAGCGCGTAGGAGAACAGCATGCAACGCATACAGAAACACAATCCTGAACACTTATATCTCTTGAATACCAAGACGCAAGGCAGTGCAAACTTGAAATGCCCATCAGACTGAACACCATGATGACCTATTTATATTTATTTCACAATTTCTAGAAAAACACATGCTGCCTTTAAGCTTTCCTCATCGCAACCCCCAAAGCGACTTATCTACCAATACACCACGCCACCAAGGCCAAAGACTGCTATCTCGCCGAGCCCTCTTAGTCATGGATCACTCTGCAAAGCGTACTCGAAACACCAAGCCAAGCAAAGCAAACCAAGAAGAACAATTCAATTCTGAGAACAAACTTGCAGCATAGCAAGTTTGCCTGCAGCACCCACTTGCTTCAGTTTTGTGGAGTTTTCCCTGAATCCATATTGGAGCGGTCATGTGCGCCGGCTCCCAGCCATTTGATTTGTGCAGGACGCCGGTGTCAGCAATGGGCACATCCTGGAGGCGAGAGATTTTCAAGTGATCGGAAAAGGGGGGCGGGGTGTTCGTGGTCGATGTGTATGGCTCTTTGGTTGAGCCTTCCAGAGGCAAACACTTCACTTCATGGTGTCTTGATTGAGTTGAAAGGGGATCGCAGAATGAAGTGTGAGCAAGGTTGGAAGGGGTTACTTAGGGCCTGCTTCAAAAATACTACATACAGCAATGTCACAAATGTCTTGAGGTCTGTTTCAGCAGTAGCTTTGGGTTGGCCTGAACCATGAATGGCCTGAGAGCTTTCTGCTGGTTTCCTGGTCACCCTGTAGCTGATACTGGCGCAAAGCGCAAGAGGAGGTGTGTGGTTCATTCCAGTAGTACTGCGGACACAAATAATTCAACTAATGCCGCATAAACAGCTACAGCATATTAGTAAATTGTTTTTTGACCTAGTACAGATCGAGTGCATCATAGTTTCTGCATGTTGGCAAATCCGTGGTTACCTAGTACAGTTCCTGGATGAGTGTTCAACTATTGGCAATTGGCAACTTGACATACTCTACTGTCAAGATCCAAGGGGCCAGGGCGCACCTGAGTGAAAGTTACCGCGTTGGTACGCTTTTAGTAATGGAACCGAATTTGCTTTCTGAAGGCATTGCTAAATCATGTGACTGCGTATGCGCACTTGCGGACGTACTTCATTGTATGCTTGGGGGCTCTTCTATGTTGTCCAGGGTGCAATAGCAAGCGTTAGCAAGCCTCATAAATGTTTGTCTAATATTTGGCTTCAATTGCACACTTGCCTTACTGAAGTTCAGGTGTTCGGCGAAAAGATCAGGCATTTGTCTTCTTTTGATCACCTGCTCGAGGTGATTAATCGCTGCACGCGCCACCAGCGCGCGCTCGTACGGTGCGCATCCAAGTACACGGAGCGAACCAAGGAGTGGCGGCTGCTGCTTTTCTACAAACATCGCTTTGTGTGATCCGGAGCTACACCGAAAGGCGTTTCGCAACCGGTTCCGCATTGCGAAGGAGATTATACAAAGTAATTAGTGTTTTGCACATTTGTTGGCCTAAGTTGACACACACACACACACACATTAATAGATTCACACACACAAACAAACAAACATGCGCAATGGCAATCAAGGGAGTGCGTGAGAACCAGAGTTAAATTCCGACCGACACAAACCTCGGCATGTGGCGGCGAACACGACCAGCATAGAAGACTTTGGCTTCAATGTTTGTGTGAAAGCCGATAGTGTAAAACCGGAAAGAGGCTGAAGGGCCAAACCATGCGCACCAGGGTGGTGTTGCCTTTCAAAAACGATTAGATCACCAATTGCTGCAATTGATCGGCTTGCCTTTTTTGAAAGCCTGGTGGTTTGTATGCGCCATGCCTGCAGGACGGATGGGATTGTGGATCATGCGCTGCTTGGCAATGCTACCTCGCATTACCTTGCCTTTTTGCAGTCCGTGGCAGCGCGCAGAGAAAGAGAGACTGTGTGCCTTTTGCATGCTTGGGATGTTGTGTTACACGTCGCACAACTACCGGTGATGTGATTTGGGCCTTTGCAGGGTGCATGATAACCATGATAGTTAATGTTGTATTCCCAAATGATGCAAGCTGACATAGGGTTTGCCTATATCAATTTAATCTAAGTACCTTTACAAATGATTTGCCAAACATAAACATCTGTAACAAGGCCTTCTTGCATTTGCGTGTGGGATGGGGAGAGGATCATTGAAAGCCTTGTGCAAGATGCTGAGTCGTTGCGTTCAAACAAGATACTTTCAGGCGTTTCTCTCTGACGCATGTTGAGGGAGGCACCACCTTTTATTGCTTGCTTGCTGCCGCTCAGGGCCGCCGCCGTGTTGTTTTCGGGAGGTCAGCAGATCCCGCACATGACCTTCAGCAGGTTCGCCTGTCATTTGAAGTAGGAGTGATGTTTTACTTCCTGGTCTATTGTTCAGGTCACACCAGATAGAAATACGGCAGAACTGAAACAGATATATCATACGGGTCCAGAAACTTGGGGTCAACTGGAATGATGGACCTGTGGTGGCCGCGAATGAAGGGGCTAAATGGCCACTCTGAAAAGTCATCCGGGCGGATCCGAATGTGTACTGTTCACATTTGCACGCACTGAGGGATATGGACACCTCCCCCATACCTCCCCCGATCTACCATGGAACTCACTCAGGGTCCCGCAAACAGGAGCAAAAAACACGTCAAAGGTTGAAGACGCGATGTTGAGGTTCCGGGAGAATTTTCAGACCTCTGGTGATCATTGACGGGCCAGACCTTCCACTTTTTGTTGGTTTCCACTGCGGCGTACATTTGGAAGAACGAATGACACAACCATACAATCCCAGTGCAGTTGAAGTTGGAGAGCATAGTTAAACTGAACGGAGACGCCTGCAATCGACATCTCAATGAAGAGCAATGATCTTCAAACACGTTTTACAGTGGTAGCAAGCCTCCGTCGCCTTTTTGTTAACCTTGCTTGAAACTGTGGTTGGCCATTGTTGGCCCCTTTCTCCCTAAGGAATGGAACCTCTACTGCTGCGTTGCGTCTTTGATTTGCAACTAGGCGTACGCATTGCCTTTGCGGCCATCGGGACTCGTGCGTGGATATGTTTGCTTCGCTTGGCAGGAAGCAAAGTCCACGCGACAACTATTGATCCAGCCTGCAAGGAGTTTGTGCTTTTTCCTGCAGGTGCACTGGTGCACGTTCGGCGTTTGTTTTGGTTCCAACTAGCCGCGGCACAAGACAGCAATTTCAGAGCAGGGTGATTCAGGGGTATTCATTCGCTGTTGTTCAAGCATGAGGAAAGCATAGAGACCCATCCAAAGCTTTTCTTACCCAATAAGGCGCCGTCAGTTTTATTTTGTAGCCATGTTGCACCGCGCTGCACACACAAACTTGCGAGCCATCACATGCCAGGCAGTCCTTGCAAGGGTGGGTTAGTCCACCTCTAAATGTTTGTCTTCGACAAGAATCCTTAGAGTGGTCGTCCAACCTGCAGTGAAAGTGTCCATGAGCACCCCCATAAACAAGATTTAGCCAGGTTGTCCACGAGATGTGGCAAACCAACCCAACAACTCAACTGACTTGGAGTTGAATGGGAGCACCCACTGGTTGATGCAGATAAAACGCTATGTGGACTCTGGACAATGTCCCACCAAGGTGTCACCTTTTAAAGTTCATATCATATCCGACTGGGGCTCAACTGGTTGGATGCCCGCCCCAATTTGCCTATGTTGTCAATAACCTGAACCAGTACGGTCCCAAAGTGGCCTGCATGCAGTCTTACTAAATAAGTTAAATATCATTCGTAGGGTTTTCACTAGGTCCGTGAGTGGGCCTGAGGCATCTCTGACCTCCAGCAAGTCCTGCGCTGCGACAACTTCTCCCAACCCGAGCAGTGCGATGGCTGGGGCCGGCCGCTGAGTTTCCATTCGACGGCTTAAGGGTCGGCCAAAGGAAACCGCTCCCTGAAAAGTCCGCATTGAGGATGTCATTGATGCTTGATATGTGTTTCTTGATATGTGAGTCTTGATGGATATCCACAAGGGTCCACATTTGATGGAAGATGTGTTTTGGACACTTGACTCTTTGATCCCTGGTGATCAAATCGCTGGGCGTTGGACCAATCACACAGGGCACTTGGGCACAGGAAAGAGATGGGTTGAACCCGGCTTGTGCCCACTTTAGGTAGATCTAGCAGGATATTCCCACGCACAATATTGCAGCTTGGAAGCTAGCTGCATCCAGTGCTGTTTACATGTTGTGGGGTTTGCTTGCCCCATTTACGTCAACCTCTATTTGCGAAATCTCGCAGTTGAACACAGCTGGTGCTGTCCCAGTTTACGATCAAACACCGCGGCGGTTGTGCGCCAAGCCAAGTGGGGCTGTTCTTTGCCGTGTGTTCTTTGCCTATGATCATTAATGATTCTTCACTCACCGTCAGACTTGGCTACTGAATGTTGCTGCGGAAGCGCTTGTTTGCTGCGCGAAAAGAGCTGCAACACTTCAGGTAGTGATGAGCTACCCCCCCCAAAGCTACCCCCCCCAAAAGAATAAGGGCTAGACGCTCCTTCTCAACTGACTGAGGTTTCAGGAATCATGAGAGAGTGAGATGACACGTGTTCCGGGCACGCGCCGCACAGGCTTCAGGGTTTCTTTTCGGTCCCTGTTTCAGCACTTTTTTGGGGCTCCTGTAAATCGTGCTATGTTTTTTTTGGGGGGGGAGCTCCAGAATTGTGCAAATAGCGCAGTTTTGAAGCTCCCCCCCTAAAAAAAATAAGGCTTGACCGCGCACCCCGGGGGCCTCTTTTGGGACCGCGCCTGCTCTCACCCCTTTTGAAAAGAGGGGGCCTCTAAATGGCGCTACACATGCAGAGCAGTTGCGGTGTGACCATGGCCTTTAGGCTGCCGAAATGGCAGGGCTTGTTTGGGCTTTCTTAAGCCTTATTAAGCCTTATTAAGCCTTATTAAGCCTTATTAAGCCTTATTAAGCCTTATTAAGCCACATTCAATAACCAGTAAATATGGCTTATTAAGGCTTAATAAGGCTTAATAAGGCTTAATCCCCTTCACGCTGCTTGGCTGCGCAGGGTTGGTGCTTATTCATTTGGGGGGGGTGGCTTTTGGGGGGGGTAGCTGCTCTCTTCCTGAACACTGTAAAACCAAGAGCAGCTGGGCGGTCTATAGGAAAGGCTGTAACGTGTCCAGGTGGCATGGTCCAGTGCTTGAGGAAGCAGGGCCTGGTGCTACGGTGGGACGGCCAGCGTCGCTTGGCTGACTTGTTTTTCTCACAATAGTGGCTGAGTCTGCTTCACTTAAGCTAAGCGATGTAGCTGTGGCTTCATCAGCAAGGTATGTCGGGGTAGTGTTGTTCAGACTTCAGCTTTGCACTTCAGACTTCAGGTTGCGGGCAAGCATATGTGCGTCATTGTGTACCTGCATGCTTGCCATACGTGTGTGGATGCGTGGATAGATGATTGTTGTGTGTGTGCGCTTTATATATATATATATATACATATGTGCGTCTTTGTGCGTGCGTGCGTGACAAGCACAACAAACTCCCCAACAACCTCTTCAACCTCCATGTCTACCTCAGCCTGAAGCACCTCAGCAACACTCAAAAAGCTCAACACTCAACCACACACACATACGCACAGACACGAGAGCTCTTCAAACCACATACTTAAACCAAACACGCACACACAGACACACACAGACACACACACACACACACACTGACACACACACAGACACACACACACACACACAGACACAGACACACACAGACACACACAGACACACAGACACACACACACAGAGACACACAGACACTCACAGACACATACACACACAGAAACACACAGAAACACACACACACTGACACACACAGACACACCCAGAGACACACACACACACACAGACACACACAGAGACACACAGAGACAGAGACAGACAGAGACAGACAGAGACAGACAGAGACAGACAGAGACAGACAGAGACAGACAGAGACAGACAGAGACAGACAGAGACAGACAGAGACAGACAGAGACAGACAGAGACAGACAGAGACAGACAGAGACAGACAGAGACAGACAGAGACAGACAGAGACAGACAGAGACAGACAGAGACAGACAGAGACAGACAGAGACAGACAGACAGACAGACAGACAGACACACACACACACAAAAAGAAACAAATACAAACACAAACACAAACACAACCACAAACAACACGCACGCGCACACGCACGCACACACGCACGCACGCAACACACACACACACACCAACACACACCAACACACACCAACACACACCAACACACACCAACACACACCAACACGCACCAACACACACCAACACACCACACACACACACAAACACGCCAAACACACCAAACGGAACACCACAAAACCACACAACAACAAGAGTCAGGCACGTACGCATAAACAAAGAAGCAACCAACCACTGTTGTGGTTGTGTTTCGTGTTGTCGTTGGCGACGCTCTCTAGACGTTTGTGCGTTTGTTTGCGCGGTCTTGTGTTATGTAAGTTCTGCCTCCGCTTATCATCGCTTCTGTGGGACCCTTTGTTCTTGCATGAAAGGCTGCAGGAGGAGTCGAAACAACAGATGGCTGTGTGTCAAAACCCCGTACCCCTGGCGAACATCAAAATAGGTGGCAAATGGATGTTCACCCACCCCAAAATGGAGCCATAGGTTATGCCTCATGGCCAGATAACTGACGCACTGAGCATTGCTTTCCTTAACTGAAAGGAGATTGCCGGACCTGCCGCTGAGCAGCCTGAGTTTCCACCTGAGAATTGGTTCGCCCTATTGGCGCAGCATCGCTGCCTAGGTCGCATGTTGTGTCTGCGAGATAGCTCTTTGGCCATCGCCCAATGCCAGCATTGCCCGGGAATGAAACACGGCGCCTAGACATGGCTGTGCTCGAGTTTAATATTTAGCATTGTTGGTGGTGGTTTGGAGCATTGGGTTCTGTCCCTTGGCTTGCTTCAAACAAAACTGGTAGCGCTTGCTGCGGTACAGCTTTGTTTGACGCAGGTTTCGCCGGGAGCACAGATTTATTGTACATGTTCGGAGTGCCCAAAGCGGCTTCCAATGATTGGCAATCATCCAGGCTTGGCTGAAAAAGGAAACAAACCTTCGAACATTGCCCGAATCAAGAAAAGGCCCAAATGGCACACGTGTGCAGAAGTCAATTGAGATGACAACACTGAATGTTTGAGGACTCTTTTTAGACGGCCAGTTTGCCGCCCCAGCTTTGCATCGTGAATGACCAGGACTCTTGGCACAGCTTGTCGACCATTTGAGCGAATGGAAGCTCGCTGGCAACGGTCCTGAGATGCGTGTATGATCTATGTTTGGGTGTTGTTCTTGCAAGATGCAGACCAGCACAGAGCATTGCACCTAAGCAGTTGCTGAAATGTGACGAAACATATCCTCACGGGAAGGCGATTTGTGCTATTGCCGCGTCTCGTTGGGCTGCAGAACGGAGCAGGCAGAAAGCCGCCCGACAACAGCAACTTGGAGTCTGGCAAAGAACACTGAATGTTTATAGTTGCTCGACATTTGCTTGTTAGTTGTTGGCTGCATGCAACCATCGCCGCTGATCGGATGACATAACCCCAAACAACACTGAAACAAAACTTGAACATGTATTCCCCACATGCACTTCGCCTATTTCAGGGCCAGACGAGGCCATTCCTTGAAGCAACTTGCCAGCAGCAGATGCCCGAAGCAAGCTTCCTCCATAGAGCACCTCAAGCACTTATCACTCTTGGTGGCATTTGGCACCTGAAAGCAGGACACATTGCAGCCGAAACAATCAGCCAGCACTGCACGCTGCACCCCAGGAACCACTTAGCGCCTGCCTAGGAGAGGGTCACAACGGATCCCCATGCCGGGCTGGCGCCATGAATCTGCGATGACTCCATGCCAGTGGTGGTCCCACTGGCTCGTTGAGCGCTTGTGAACACGTGAGCGGGGGTCCAGTAGCTCTATGCTCTAAACAATACAAGTGGTGTTTGCTTGTTGCTGCTTGCATCTGCTTGCATCTGCTTGCATTGGCGGGCTTGAAGCATTGTTCGGATCGGGTTCCTTTTGTTTCATATTAACCTGTGGCTGATGACTCCCCAGTCGTGAATCGGGGGTTCCCAGGGAGAAGCAAAATCACCACTTACTGGCGGCCCCTTTGATCAGTAGGAGGGTTGTTTGTCAGGCATCAACAACAACGAATGGTGGCCGAATGGTCTCTTGTGATGCATCCACAAAGGGAGTGAACCATGATCGAGCAACCGGATTAACCATGGAACAGTACAAGTTCCTAGCGTGGGACAAGGGTGCTCTCCCTCGCTTTCGCTCTCTTTTCCTCTTTCCTGGTCTCTTTGTCTCTGTGTTTTTGGGTCTCTTTGTGTCTCTCTATCACTCAAAATGTTGGTTCATAGCAATGCGTACTGTTCGAAAAATCCAAGCTGGATGTGTCAGTGTTTTGACCAGCGTTCTTGCAGTTCCATAATTGACATTGTCGTTTGTGCAATTCCAAAAATGACATTGTCGCGTGACAGACCCCTAGCTCTTACAGGTGCTACGTTGACGAGCGATTGAAGGGGGGCTGAGCGACACGTGAGTGTACTGCCTCTACTACCGCTTCTATTTGTGCTACAGAGAGCCATTTTGGTGCAACATTGGGTGTGTTTTTTTTTTTTTTTTTTTTTTTTTTTTATTGGGCGTTAGCTTTTCAAACATTGCTTGTTAATTTGGCAACTCATAGAAACATATGGCATGCTTGGATTGTTCGAAGGAGACATGCGAAATAGCGTGTCGAGGGCTGTCGCTTGGATCAACTGCCAGAAGCTCTCAGGCCGCTCAGGTGCGGCCAATGGGGTTTTCGTGACAGGTGATGCAGATCCCTCAGCGAGGGCAGAGGCGCTGCGAAGCGCCGACTTCGCGGAAGGGAGAGGGGGAACAGGGGGATGGGAAGCGTTTCCGTGGGCATTTTCGTCCGGCATCGTCACAAAATTTGTGACGGAAAAGCAGCGGAGACAAACAGGAATTCTGGCAAGTCCCAAGCTTGTTGAGTGAGGGTTCTGGGAAAGAGGGATAGTATGGCCGTAGGATCGCAGAAGTGGGAATTTCCCCGGAACCCTTGTTGACGTTGCAAGTGCGCACCCATCATCCCAAAGTATCTGCAGTTGTTCACGAACTAGCGTCTTGTTCTTTTTGCTTGCCAACTGGTGACAATCTAAGTGAACGCGCCATGCTTGGGGGCAGGAGTGGAGGCGAGATTTCCCTGGGATTCAAATCAACATGTGCCTTTGCTGAGAGCGGGAAGGCAAGGCTATTGCACCTTGCACGAAGCTTGCGTGCGATGTCGCGATGAATTTGACCAAAGTGGTGGGCTGTGGACTTGCAGGGTGTGCCTTTGTCGCCTATCCCAAAAGTATGGCTACTGACTGTGGGGCACTGGTTGCATGTCAAAGAAAGAACAGGTTGACGCTTCACGCAGCAAGATCTTCATGCTTCCTTGGGGTTGGGGGGCAGACCCATAAGCTGAGAAACCCCACAAAAAAGGAAAGAAACAAAAACAAACGAGGAAAACAAACTTTGAGATGCACAAGCGGGCTTTGCACATTTGCAGGCCGACCACCCGAGCGGAGCTGACGTCCTTGGGCCTCACACCAGCGCAGGCGTGGACCTGCTCCAAAGCTCGGGGATTGCTTCACCGAGCTTCCATTTGGTTAAGAATATTTTGTATTTTCCCCTGGTGGCTTTAAAGGGAGTCTATCACTACTGGAAATATGTTTTTGTTGTTTGTTGTTTTTTTCCAGGGGGCTTAAGCAAATGGAAGCCCAGCTTCGAAGTCCACGAATCGGCGGTTTCATTTGTTTCTCTTTCGGCAGCCCCGAGAGATGAACCCGGAATTTCCGGAAGACCTGACCGCAGCAAGTTGGCAACCGGGGGCTCCAATTGATTCTGGGGACCCAAAAAACTGAATCATGGGTGTCATGATGCGCTTTCAGGAGGCCGGCGGGCCAAAAAAAGCGATGAAACCGAACAATACGCGTAGGAAACCGGAAAAAAACATAGAAAACCCTACTATGTCAGCCAACAAGATGCACGAGTTTACCCCGCCTCAGAAATGGGAGGACCCCGGACGGAAACCAGCCTGTTTATGTGGAGTGCCATCCTCCGACAGTGAAGGATTCCAACTTGCAAGGGCGCAGTGCTTGATGCTTGAAGCCTGAGCATCAAATGGTAAAGGTTTTCCGCGTGTGGTTGGCTCTTACGAGTAGACCATCGATTATTCCCGTTGTTTTTGTTCTTCTTCTTTTTTTCTGGTTCTCCAACCACTTGTGCCATGCTTACATCCCCAGCGTGTTGCTTGTCAAGGGATTGTGCCAGGATTCGATTCGTTGGTGTAGATGGGACGGAGTCTTTTGCAAGGGCGAGCAAGCGAGTCTCCATTGCAAGTTGCAAGCCAGGAGTGTTCCAAAGGAAGGGGAACAGTCCTTGCATCTTGCAAAGCCCAGAGGCCACCCATTTGAGTGGATCCGATCTCCCCTTGGCGCGGTGACATCATCTGAAAAGAAGTAAACTTTGGGTTGCGGTAGATGCCCCTGCCATATTGCAAGCTGAAGTACTGCGGGCAGCTTCCAATGTACGCAACATGCCGCATGATTCTGTGCTTGAGTGTGGTTGTGTGATTTTTCGTGTGGTTGGTTTACTTTCAAAACGGCAGGGGCATCTTTAGCTGTGGGGTAATTGGGATCCGTTTGCCAGGCAGATCATGAGCTGGTCAGGCAGAGCGAACTCGAGGCCATTTTGGGCGGGGTGGGTTTTGAAGGGCACGCTGAAAGGAATACCTACCATGTTTGGGGGCCTCCCCATTTTGACAACGAGTACAGCTGGCACTTGGCGCATTGTTCGCAATGTACCGAGCTTCGTGCTTGTTGCTACCTTGATTCTTAAGCCACCAAAAGGCGGATCCCTGTGATATCTTAGTTTGGACATCCGAATTTAGCAAGCTCACTCAGTCGCTTCAACTGCTCAGACATTAATTACTTGCTCGTTTTGACCAGACCGACTGGCCAACTTTGCGTCATTTCACGTCAAGCAAGCCGGCGCCCCTAGCTGGAGGTGATCGAAGCCAGTATCACGCGATGGGTGATGCTCTTTGGATGCATCATTTGTGGCGGCCCCAGAGCCAGACTCGGATTGGAAGCCAAGTAAGTCCAGCAAATGTCTTGGAACAGAAGTCGTTGTTTGAATCAGGCAGGCATGGGAACCTCCATTTCTCCATGCTGCCTGGGTGGTCACAACCCTGGTGACCTAGTAATTCTTCAGTTTGGCAACACATGTTGGGGACGTTACCAAGCGTGTCTCTCGTCAAGGCCCGTAGCCTTTCGCCGGAAGCCTCGAAGTCTGAGGTTGCTTCATGGATTGCTTGTAACAAACAACTAGATTTGGCCACACAAGTGTTTTAGCTTGCAAGCTGGTGGCAAGCTTGTAGCAAATGAGAAGCTTAGCTTGGCGGTTTTATGCGGCCGGAGTTGCATGCGATCATGTATCCTTCCTGCGCTCGATCCTTCTACTCCCAGTGCTCCTCTACCCAGGCGCTTTGCTGCCGGTGAGCCTGGTACTGTTCTTCTACCTGATCTACAGCACGGGGCTCGGATTGCCCTTGGCAGGCAGCGAGACGCTTTTCAAGAGCGGATGTGGGCGACCACGGGGGTGGTTTACCGGAAGAATCCGGTCTCAACTTGCCGGTGCTCAGCAG